CCATCGAGAATAAATTGATTGCATTGCAAAGATGACACACCAATTTCAGTTAGAACGAAACCATCTATCGACGCGGTAAAGGTATTAATTACTGCACGAAACTCATCCCAGTGTTTACGCAAACTTCGAATATTTACATGAATAAGTGTTAAAGAGTTATTAGAAAGAGGGCCCAAAAGCTGAATAAATGAACTAATATCTGGAACAGAAAAACAAGTTGTCATGTTTTACACCAGTAGCAGAAGGTCGTTTTTTGTGTTGATTCGAATGGCTGGTGCGCCTTCGGCTTTCCTAGCAAAAATCTTAGAGTTCTTGGTCCACACAAAATGGTATCCTTTTTCTTTAGCCCCCGTCCTCGTCAGCCAAAAAAGCTCCTTATTCGCAGATGTAAGGTTGTCGTTGAAGAATAGCTTTGGTTGGTTTTCTGATTGGCACAGCCTGTGAAGTCTACCACGTGCCGCCATCCAAGCGTCTTTTAGGGTGACAGAGGCGAAGCGAATCAAAATAACCGGAACTGAGTCCGGCTTTTTGGTCAGACGGTGAATTGCCAGGATATCTGACGACTGAGGTGTTGGAAGGTTAAGGGGCCTAGCGAGATCACTTATGACCTTCATTAGATCCTCACCATGAGAGAGCGGAAAACCATGCAGTTCCATGTTGGAACGACGGCTGTATTGTTGTTGCATGTCATTAAGCTCGTCTTTCAGTCTCTCAATGGTCTCCGACTGCTCTCTCATTGTTGCCTTAACCGTGCTAACCTCCTTTTGAAGTTCTTTAACTGCCTCTTCATTTGTCGTAGCCAGAGCGAGCACGGAATCGTACTTCAAGCTAAAAGAGTCAACGGTCGTTTGTAATCCTTGGACCGTGTTGCGAAGCTCTTCGACAGCTGGTTTTAAGGCCAACAACTGATCAACCTTAGATGGAAGAGGCAACAGCGTCTCCACACTTGTCCTCAATTAAAGGAGCTGGTTAAGAGTGGCATTGATTGATGCCAGCTGACTGGTGAAGGGTGCATAATCTACAATCTCCTCCCTGCTGCCGTCGGTACGGGAGGATTCATCTACTGAAATGTCACCGCTAAGATCGGATGGTCTAAGGGTGGCGCCGGTACGGCAAGTGGAACACTTCCAAGTTTCTCGCCTGACAGCGCCCATCCCCGCGTACGTCCCATCTGCGACGCCGGAACAGGACTTACCAAGATGGTAACCCCTTCGGCAAGATGCACACGTCAGGGATCTGCCATCTGCCGGCAGAGCGCGAGCACATTTGGCACAATCCATTATTAGGGAAGGCGAGTACACAGCGGTAAGGCAGCACAGACACCAGTCAATACGCACTTCTCGAACAAGTGTAGACCGAGATGAGTCAAGGTTGTATACGAACACTCCACGTGGCAGTTTTGTGCTGAGCTCGAGCGCAGTTGCTCACCCGTGAAACTGCACGACACAGAGAATCAATAGGTGATACCTGAAGGAACGGGCTTGCGGTCCTCATAGATCCTGCCAGCCGTAATCAGAACGGTTGTTGCCGTACTTCTCACCGCCATATATTCTTGTGACTCAGGTCGAACTCGGGCGCACGGTGCTCGGGCGTGAAGCTTCAACAAGAAGAGCTCCAGTCGGAGAGAACCGCCGTAGAGCGTGACGCCAAGGAATGTGGTGGAAGCTTGCCTGTGAAGTCGATGGTCAGATCAAGACGATAGGGGCCTTGGCGTGGGAAATGACTGACCCCGGAGTGACACGGTGCTTGATAAGCAGCATGAATAGCTTGCCCGTCGTAATGATGCTTTAGAAGTATTAATTACAGGGGAAAATATGAAGAGCTCTTGAAGCGAACGACCGCCCTGTTGGACTTCTTCTTCTGTTTCAAGACTTCTTCTTTGTTGGACTTCTTTTTATTAATAATAATAATAATAATAATAATAATAATAATAATACATTTATTTGTGCGGATAATTTCTCAAGTTGAGGCACGGGTCTGTCAAAGCCAGTAAAGGCTTGTGGGACAGCACCCTACTGGTCATAATCACAATATCCCCCAAACACAAACAGTGTCAAGCTCACCATGCAGCATCTGCACAGTAATGCAATAAATATGATGAAAAATGCCACGCACATAGTATCAATAAATGCACTGTGATGCAATAAATAATCATGTAAAAAAACACGCACACACGCGCACACACTCACGCATAGTTATGTTGTTCCATTGAAATCTTGGAGCACTTGTTTGAGTTTTTTTAGAGTCCACACCATATATGTTTTCCAGCAGGTCATTGAAGATTGAGGGTACATAGTAATTGCGAACTCTTTTTCCATAATTCGTGGTGATAGAAGGCACTTTGTAACGTTCGGTCCGGCGAAGTGATCTAGATGCTATATTGGGTTCTTTATAGTCAACGTTCCAAAAATATTTCAGTACTACAGTCTTAACCAATAAAGCATTGAAGAGCGGCAAACCTAAAGCTTTTAGTTTTTCTTCTTCGCTTTCTGCCGATGGAGCATAGGCAATACTCTTAAACATTCCTTTCAAAACTGAATCAACTTTTTGGCACCATATTACAGACCCATGTCCGAAAATTGTTATGCCATACCTTAAAACAGTGTAAGCTAAAGCTTGAGCTATCATCTTTTTGGTCGATTTAGGAATTAATGATCTTGTATTATAGAGTAAGCATGACACTTTTCTCAGTTTTTTACAGATATAAGACATATGAAAATTCCATGACAAAGCACTGTCAAACTCAATTCCTAAATACTTAACCTGATCTGCATAAGACACAGGGCAGCAGTTGCCGTCTGTACAGTCAGAAGTATGCATGTAAAGTGGATGATCAAATGTTATATTTCTTAGCGGATTATGAAAGCAGACAAGTTTAGTTTTGGATATATTTACCTCAAGACAATTTCTTTTGAACCAGTCAAGTAAGCAGCACGTATCTTTTTGGCGTAGCGTCATTGCTGGAACATAATCAAGATGGAGCGAGAGCAGTACCGTGTCGTCAGCGTATTGGAATAGTTGACATGTGGAGACAGCGTTGGACATATCATTGACAAACACGTTGAAAAAAAGAGGCGACAAAATAGATCCCTGAGGGACTCCAGCTTTTAAATTTACTTTGGAGCTTCGGCTATTGTTTATAGAAACTACTTGTGTACGGCCGCTCAAAAAGTTCTGAAGCAGAGAAAGGGATGGGCCGCGGAATCCAATTTTATGCATTTTTTTTCGCTTTCGTCACGTCAATAAAAAGTGCACACGCGACTTGATGCCTTTCAAAAGCAAGATGGAGTTCATCAGCGAAATCTTCCGGAAGTGGCTGGGTCCCCCGGCCACTGACGAACCCATACTGTCTAGACGATAGGATATCAAAGCTATCAAGGTACGACGTCATAGTATTGAGGATATGCTTTTCCAAAATTTGCTTTATACAAGGTAAGATTGAAATTGGGCGGTAATTGTTAATTTGTTTACGCTCCCCGCCTTTGAACAAAGGCTTTACTAAGGCACTCTTTACATCATCTGGGATTTTTCCACGAGAAATGAAACCATTTAACATATAAAGGAGCACGTGTTTTATAACATTATAATTTCTCTGCAGGTCTTCTGCACTGATGCCATCTATACCAGGACACTTGTTTGATTTGAAACTGAAAAGCGTAGTTTTGACATCAAGCTCCGTCATCGAGGGAAGGAAAGCCGAGGAAACATTTGAGTCTAGAGTCCCTGCTGAAAACAGAGCATCATCTCGGGCTACTCCGGAGAATTTAGCGAAGAATTTATTAAAATCCTCAACCAGTTGCGTTGTATCGTGACCGAATGTTTTCTCGAGTGTGCGATCAATTGACCTATTAATCCCCTTGCCTCGTAGCTGACTAACCAAACACCAAGTATGTGCTATATTTGACCTTGCTTTAAAAAATTTATCTCAAAAATATTTTCTTTTTGCCGAACGTATCAGCGCGTTTAAACGATTTCGTGTACTGCGAAATTCTGTCTTCAACTGAGAATTATTTGGAGAACGTCGGCATCCTGCCCAAAGGGCATCTTTATACCTAATTTCTAGTAGAATGTCACCAGTTAGCCAGTCGTGTTCCTTCCGACGTCTCCTCACAGGAATTACCTTTTTTGCTTGTACCCTAAATGCACAAAATTGATCTTTAAAACTTCTGTAACTGTCGTCAATGTTGTCAGTAGATAACAAAATGTTCCAATCGTTCGCCCTAACCAAGTTATCAAGCTTCGTTCGATCAATTATTTCAATTATTTTTGTTGTCTCCTTTGGTGATTTAACATTGAGTTGTGGTATAAGTTGACATGCCACGAAGTAGTGGTCAGAAAGTTTTTGCTCTATTACTGCTGATTTCGCAATTATATCCGGTACGCGTACATTAATATGATCAAGGCATGACACCACAAGATGATCTTCTAAAAGTTCTTCTCGGGTAGGAGCAAGAATTAAATTTTCAATACCAAAGAGCGCCAATGGGTTAAGATAATCACAAACAACAAACTTGGAGGGTTTAAGCGTGTCAATGTTAAAGTCGCCTATTAGACAAATATCATCGATGGACCGAAAACTATGAAGCGTATCTCAGAGTTCGTTCAAAAATCTCGAAAGATTACCTGACGGAGGCCTGTAAAAAGCTAGCAACATCAATGACCACTTCGAATTCGATACATCCAGTGATAGTGACTCGCAACTAAGAAAATCTACATCAAGTCTTTCAGCACACCAGATATCTTTAACAAATATAGCAATTCCTCCTCCTCGTCCAATTGTACGTGCTAAAAAGAATGCCTTATAACCCGTTCTCCGGAATTCATTGCAGAAGTCCTCTTTAACATGGATTTCTGTTAGTACAAAAACATCGAATAATTCTCACTCACTGGGTACAAGAAACCTCGAAGGGACAAAAAATCTGAGCACCGACAAAACTGTACTTCCATTATTCTAAGTGGTTTTCATTCCATGTTCACAGAGCCGTTTAGCAAAGAGGAGACTAAACAATCTTTTCTAGGTCGTCCAGCCGATGGATGCGGACAACTGGAAAGGATTCTTTCTTCTTTGTGAATAGCTTATCGTTCTTGACCCATGTGAACTTGTACAGCCTTGCCTTTGCTCTCTCACGCAGCCTCCAAAACAGTTCCTTGTTCTTTCGGGTCAGGTTTTCGTTGACGTACAGTTTTGGCAGTGACCTGTTGGCTGCAAGAGTCCGCAGCTTTCCTCTTGCGGTGAGCCATTGATCCCTGGCTGTCATCGAAGAAAGTCTAATCAGTATAGGCGGAGGGATGTCACGTCGAGATGGTATAGGGTGGGCTGTTAGAGTGTCTCTTGGATGCAAGTCAGGAAGGCCAAGTTGACTTGCTAACTCGCCTACAACAACAGTCAGATTTTCGTTTGGGGAATGAGGCAGCCCGTGAATCTCTAGATTGGAGAGACGACTGAACTGTTCGCTGTCATTGAGCTCCTCTTGGAGATGTTGGATGGTTTCAGACTGCTCCGCTATCACTGTTCTTAAAGACATTGTTTCATTGCGGAGTTCTGTTATTGAGGCGGAGTTGAACTTTGAACTTGAACTTTATTTCAGCAACATTATGCCGAGGACACCGTACAAAAAGCTAACAGAAGCTAGCTTGACTGGGTCCGGTGCCCTTGCATGTACAGGGAACACAATCATATTTATACAATCCTAAATATTTCTTACAATATTCAAATGAAGCAATTTAAAATGTTCCAATAAAATTTTAAAATTGGTGGTGTTGGTGGTGGCTGTCGTTAATAGGGAGTCATACCTGTCTGACAAAAAGTCAATGAACTTCTGAACCTCCGATACGGTGGATTTGAGGTTTCCCACCACCGGATTTAAGGTCAAGAGTTGATCAATTTTGGATGGTAGATCAAGGAAGGACTCAACGTTTGACTTAAGTAAGGTAAGACATTCCAGGTTAGATTCAAGTGATCGAAAGTGGTCACCAGTCAACGGAGATTCACATTGTGACTCATTTTGAGAGCGTGAATAATAATAATAATAATAATAATAATAATAATAATAATAATCTTTAATAACTAATTCTTAGAGTCAGGATCAAGTTCCAGGTGTTGTCAAAGCCTCAAGAGCTTGTGGGACTAGACCCAGCAGTTGCAGCAAGCTTATTGAAAATGTTCAGATTGTCACGTACACACACTCACACACACAAACGCACAAACACGAATCACACACCGATAACATATTTTGCTCAAGGCGCAAGTTCACATTTCTGTCGGTCTTAAAAAAGAATAATAATAATAATAATAATAATCTTTATTCATCATTTGAATTGGAAACAACATACAGAGAGATATTATTATTACTATCACCCGCGTTCGATGACAGTATGTTTTCCTGTGCGCTGTTCCTAGATGTTGCAAAAGCCTTCGACACCGTCAACTATGATACCTTGCTGCGTAAATTGCTTAAGATCGGGTTTCGTGGGCATCTTTTTTTTTGCACTGCTGGCAAATTTTTTATTAAATCGATCACAACGAGTTCATGTGGGCAATGGAAGAAGCTCCGTGTATTATCTACGAGCGGGGGTTCCCCAAGGCTCTGTGTTATCGCCGCTGCTGTTCAATATTTATGTCAACGACCTTATCTCTGTCATTTCGGATTTTAAATGTTATCAATATGCCGACGACACTCTGCTGATTTCCAGACATGTGAATTTCGACAGTGCACGTAATAATTTGCAAAGTAATGCCAGTAGAGTGGTGGACTGGTACGCCTCCAATCTTTTTAAAATCAATCCAGTAAAAACCAAGTTCATCTGTTTTCGCGATCCGCTGAAAATGGTTGCATAGATAAGCCTTTCTATTTACGCGGGGTAGATAGCGTATCTCGCAGTAGTGCATCTTCTGGAACGAGCAGTTAGCCTACATATGTCGTGTCTTACGGAATGTAGCCTGTCTTTTGTACAAAATTAAAGTTTTTGTTCCTTTCCACGTTAGAAAAATGCTCGTTCATGCTTTGAACGAGCATTCATGTGCTAAGGTACGGAGTTACAGTGTTCGCGCACACCGCAGGGCTCTGGCACGAAAAGGTAAACAGTGTTTTGAAGTGTATTTTAAGAATTGTGGCGCGCAATTTAAGGTATTCAAACAGCACGAATCTCTTTGCCGATCTAGAGATGCCCACATTTTTTTTCTTTGTACCAACGAACAGTAATTCTTCGGTTTTTTGGACGTACAGCTACAAGATCGCAGATGTGTCGTCTCGTATTCTTAGGCAGTCGATCAGATTTGAGAAACCATGCAGTTTCACGAGATACGAAATGAAAACCCGAGACTACTACGTTCCCGACACCTTCAATGAGCTACCCCATTGTGCATTTTCCCTAGATTCTAAGACGAAAGTTAAGACATGGCTCCGCGCATATATGTCGGACGCAGTGTAAACAGTTTTAAACAGTTATTTTATTTCCTTTTTTTTTCGGGGGGAGGGGGGATAACCAGGCAGGCTTTGAATCAGCCTTGAGTGCAGTTGAGTTGAGTTGGTGTGTGTGTGCGTATACTACCTTTTGTTGATCATATTTCCAGCTCTTTTGTGTTCGCTCGCACTTGGCGACTTGCAAGGCCCCGTCCCATAAGCCATCATAGGCTTTGACGGGCCCGTAAACACATTTGTACCTCAACTTTGACAATAAAATTATTATTATTATTATTATTATTATTATTATTATTATCACTATTATTATTATTATTATCCATCATCTCAAGAGTTTTGACTGATCTCTGGTCTTAGCATCCTCTGATGCAAATGAGCGAGTAAGGTAGCTCTCTTTACGAGATCAATTCGAGAGGCCATAGACAGACACATCCCTTTAAGATCTTTAAAACCTCGATTTCCTAATTGGCTTTTTAATGAACTAAGAATGCTACTAAAAAGCAAAGACTTCCTGCACAGAAAGTTTTAAAAAAGTGGTCTCCGAAAGTGGGTGGTAGAATTCAAGAGATGCAGAAAGAAATGTAAGTTAATGTTAAACCCTGACCGCCTGGCGTATCATAACTCAGTAAAATCTGGCTTTGTCAAAAACCCTAAGAAATTTTGAAGCTACAATAGACCAAGTTCCAGGAAGGATATTGGATCGACAATGGTTTTGGATCACCATGATAGAGATGCGAAGTGCGTGCCCGAGCTATTTGCAGATCATTTTAGTTTAGCCTACAAAGACAGTACCGTCTGCTCCTCCACCACATTGAGTGACTTGAATAAATTCGGTGATCTACAAAGTTACATAAATGTTGACAAGGAACGTGTACAGCTAGCCATTAAACAATTGAAAGCCATGCTATCCGCGGGGCACAAGGGTATATTATCCGCAATTCTCGAAACGTTTCATGATATACTCACACCTACACTATGTGCAATATTTAACAGCTTATAAGAGTGAGGAGTATTCCCCGAAATTTGGAAGATTGCCGTGGTTGTTCTGGTTCAGAAGTCGATAAAGAAAGGTAACGGTTTCAGCTATAGACCGATTTATTTTCTCTCTTCTTTTTCCCAACTCTTTGAATAGTCATTAATCATTTCTTGTCTTTCAAATTTTGACACGTAACCCTTCCAAATCAGCATGGGCTTATTACCGGCAGATCAACGCCTACAAATATTGTAAATGTTATGTCTATTGCACCCCAGGTAGTGTGCAACAGAGGTTAGCTAGACGTGGTCTACTTTGACCTTAGCAAGGTATTTGTACTTAGGCATAGTCTTTGATTCAGATTTATCATGCACAACGGATTTATCGTAGGTATCTGGAAAGCTTAGATGCGTAAGGGGCTTACTTTATAGCATTAAGATATTTATGCCATTTGCTCAAAGAAAATCAATTGCACATGCTCTTGCTTAGAGCCTACTCAGATATAGTATCACATTATTTTGTAACTGCACAGGAGCTTGGAAAACTGAAATTGACCAAATTCTTAAATTTTTCTAAAAAAACAAAACATGGTGTATCATTTCGATCTAGCAGTAGCAGCAGACATCTGCGAGACTTTACGGTTGCCCAAATTTCGTTCACTCCATCTTTAATGGGTTCTGACCTCTCATTTTTCTTGTAATGATTTCAAACATCCCATAGTGTCTCGCAAACATTTGCCTAGCTCAGTATGTTGTATAGCCCCCCCCCATTGTTATACGAGATATGGTAAGCGTGATTGTTTCTACTATGAGCGATATATATTTAGGGACTCCCTGATTACTTTTTTTAAACTACTACTACGAAAAATAAAACTGCTGAACAGTTCTTAAATGTAATTATGTTGTACAGTTCTATTCATTACTGCTCCGCGTTTTTGTTCCCCTTTTTCACTGTAATGTTAACTGATTGTTTAACTGACAGTACTGTGATACCTCTTTGATTACTGCTCTACCGAAAAATTCGGTATAAGTTTTGCTATCTGGATGATGGAACCGAAATTCTATCTGGATTATATCTGGACGCCATCTGGAATTTACGTTCTCAGAAATTACTTCTTTGTCTGCAATCTGGATTTCGGAATTCCAGAAACAAATTTCCTGATAGTGAAAAGTTATACCGGATGTTTCAGTAGGGTGTGTGTTGCTGGGACATATTTGCAGTTTGTGTCATTTGACGTATCGATTGAAAAGACCATCAAAGGAATCTGATGGTCCAAACTTCCACGATGGCCCATCAGGATTCCTTGATGGCTTCGGTGGTTCATCAGACCCTCCAAATGGACCAAACTTCCTTGATGGCGTCTGATGGACCATCAAAAGTGTCTTGATGATCCATCAGGAGCTCCAATGGCACCTCATGGTCCGCCAGACTTCCCTGATGGACCATCAAAAGTGTTTTGATGGTCCGTCAGGGGCTCCAATGGCAACAAATGGTTCATCAAACCTCCCTGGTGGACCATCACAAGCGCTTGACAGTCTGCCAGATGTTCATAACGGCACCCGATGGTCCGTCAAACCACAAGGCGATGGATCATCAAAAGCCCTTTGTACCATCAAAACACGTTGACAGGGTATAGTCTGGTAGTTCCACAAATTATATTTTGTGGCGGCTCTTACATGTGACAACAATATTTGATCAGGCGTGGAGGCACGTGGTTGCAGTGGTTCTGAGCGAGTCTATATTCTTCTTGACTCGATCGCATGCAGACTTAAACCAAACGCATATATATTGTTGAGACGTTGATAAAAGAGATTTAATAGAAGATAGGAGGAAAATGCGACCAGTATGAATGGCGGTACAGCATTCAAGAAGCGCCCGTGCCGAGCGCGCGCTTGGTCAAACCCCTGCCTGTCTGTCCGTGCCACTTCTTCTTCCTTACAATATCCCCCCGGTGTTGTAAGCGCCGGTCATCCGGCGCGTTTAGATTATGAGTCTTGGCGGTAATAGGGCTTCATGCGGCTGATGTGTACCACGTCGGAGGACTTGGAGCGAAGGTCGCGGTGCGGCGTAACGGGCTCGACTTCATAATTGGTTGGGGAAAGCTGTCGGATGACACGAAAAGGGCCAACAAACTGTTTAAGAAACTTCTCGCACTTGCCCGGTGCTCGCCGGGGAGACCACAAGAGGACTTCATCACCTATGTTATAGGCAGTGGGGAGGTGGCGGTCGTCATAGCGCAGTTTTTGTTGTTGCTGGGATTTAAGGGTGCGGATGCGGGCAAGCTGACGGGCGTCTTCTGCTCTGGAGACAATCTCCTCTGCGTAGGGTTGCATGAAGTTGTCAGGTTGGTAGAGTAATATCGTGTCAAGGGGTGTTAGGGGTTCGGATGCATAGAACAAGTAGTAGGGAGAGTGTCCCGTGGTAGATTGTCGTGCAGTATTGTATGCATAGGTTACGTAGGGGAGGATGATGTCCCAATTGTCGTGATGATCGGCTACGTACATTGAAACCATGTCAGCGATAGTATGGTTGAAGCGCTCTGTTAATCCATTTGTTTGTGGGTGGTAGGCTGTTGTAACGGTGTGAACAGTCGAAGAAAGGCGGAGGACATCTTCGAGCACGTTGGATAGAAAGGGAGTGCCTCGATCGGTGATTATGTATTGTGGAGCTCCATGGCGCAGCAGTATCGAGTGGATAAAAAAGTTTGCGACTTCGTGGGCGGTAGCGGCGGGAACGGAGGCCGTCTCGACGTAGCGTGTTAAATGGTCAATCGCAACAAGTATCCACTTGTTGCGAGTGGATTGGGGAAATGGGCCAAGGAAGTCAATTCCGATGCGTTCAAACGGGTGGTGCGGTTGGGGAAGGGGTTGTAGGCAACCTGGAGGCTTTGTGGTAGGACGTTTCTTGGTCTGGCAGTGGTGGCACGCTCGAACGTACTTGCTGATGCTGCGGGTCATGCCTGTCCAAAAGTAACTGCCTCGGATGCGAAAGTAAGTTTTAGAAAATCCAAGGTGGCCAGCTGTAGGGTCGTCATGGTTTGCTTGGATAAGATCCTTTTGTAGTCGGCGGGGAATCACTAAAAGCCATGGCCGTCCTTGTTGTGTGTCGTAGTTTCGCCTATAAAGAATGCCATCTCTGAGTTGAAAAAGACGGGCACGGCGCTGAATTTGCACAGAAGGATGCGGCAAAGCACCTTCAAGGCATTGAATAATGGGGTGCAATAAAGAATCGAACCGTTGCTCTTCTGCAATGTTGACGAAGCTCAGGACAGCAGTTGTGTCTTCGTGGGCGGAGGAGTTCGAACATTGCGACCCATGGGGAAGGGGGCATCTGGAAAGGCTGTCAGCATCAAGGTGTCGTTTTCCAGATTTGTAATGAATCGTGTAGTTATAGTCTTGGAGTTTCAGGGACCAACGTCCGAGTCTTCCTGAAGGGTCTTTTAGGGTGCATAACCAGCATAGGGCGTGATGATCGGTTACAATAGTGAAGTGTGTGCCGTATAGGTAGGGACGGAACTTCGAGATCGCCCACACAACGGCCAAACACTCGCGTTCAGTTATGGTATAGTTACGTTCACTTTTCGTTAATGTGCGGCTGGCGTAGGCGATTACTCTCTGGACACCGGAAATGTTCTGGGCCAGTACGGCGCCGAGGCCATGGCCACTGGCGTCGGTACGTATCTCAGTGTCAGAGTCAGGAACGAAGTGGCCGAGCACTGGGACAGTTGTTAGGGCGGTTTTCAGGGCTTGAAAAGCATTGCTTTGAGGGCGATTCCATTGGAAAGCGGTGTTGTTACGGAGTAGCGTGTTGAGAGGTTCAGCGATGTGGGAGAATCCGGGTATAAATTTTCTGAAGTATGTGCAAAGGCCGAGAAAGGACCGAAGGTCTTTTAAATTTTTCGGAGATGGAAATTCGGAAACAGCTTGTAATTTAGATGGGTCAGGGCGAATGCCATCTGCACTAATGATATGACCGAGGACCTGAATTTGGCGAGCTGCAAAGATACATTTTTTTTGTGTTCAGTTGCAAATTGGCGGTGAGAAAGCAATTCAGCACTTCTTCTAGCCTGTGCAAGTGCTCGTTGAATGAGGCGGAGAAAACAATTACGTCGTCGAGGTAACAAAGGCAGGTTCTCCACGTGAGACCCCGTAGCACAGTGTCCATCATGCGTTCGAACGTGGCAGGCGCATTGGACAGGCCAAACGGCATGACATTAAACTGGTATAGGCCGGAGGGTGTAACGAAAGCAGTTTTTGGCTTGTCGGCGTCGGCCATGGGTATCTGCCAATAACCGCTTCTAAGGTCGATGGACGAAAAAAATGATGATCCCTGAAGAGTGTCGAGGGTGTCGTCGATTCTAGGTAAGGGATAGACGTCTTTAGTGGTGATCTTGTTAAGTCGACGGTAATCTACACAAAATCGCCATGATCCGTCTTTTTTCTTGGTGAGAACAACAGGGGCCGACCATGGGCTGGATGAAGGCTCGATTATGTTTCTTTGGAGCATATCTCTGACGTGATCGTCGACGGCCTTACGTTCGGTGGGTGAAACTCTATAAGGGCGGCTTCGAATGGGAAATGCTGTGCCGGTGTCAATGTAATGAGAGACTACCGAAGTTTGAGCTAGAGAGCGGCTATTAAAATCGAAGAGTTGTTCATACGAAACAAGAAGCTTTGTTAGGGCTTCCTTCTGGTGAGGAGGCAAGCTAGAGTCTACCATTTTAGCAACTTGTGCGGCGGTGCTTTGGGCAGCTGACGGTAGCCTCGTAGATGTAAGTTCAGAGAGCGTTGCAAGCGTGGTATAAGAATGAGATGTTAGAGTAGCCAAACGTGCACCACGGGGAACAATTTGCGACTCAGTAGATGTGTTGGTGACGAAAAGAGAAACTTGTCCTTGAGTTGTCGTGGCGATGCAGTAGGGAAGAATAACTGGCTTTTTTGCGACAAAGTTGGCAATGGGTTCAATGAAACCAGTGGTGCTTTCGAATGGACGGTCCGGCAGGAGTGTGATAGCAATAGCGGAAAGGGGGGGGGGGGGGGGGGGGGCAAGAGGTAATCGTCGTCGGTGTGAAGCGAAATGGGTGAATTTTCGTACACGTCGTAACTAGTCTGCCGAGTGCTCAAATGAAGTTCGCGGCTGGCGCAGTCAATGAATGCCTCGGTGGCCGACAAAAAATCCCATCCCAAAATAACGTCGACGACACAATTAGCAAGTACAGTAAACAAAATGATATAGGAAGTGCCTCCGATAGAAATAGGGATGGTGCAGTAGCCAAGAGGTTGCACAAGTTCACTGTTCCCCATCCGTAGAAAATGTCCAGCGGGTGGAGGGGTGAGCACTTTGTGTAAACGGCGGCGAAGCTGATTAGAAATGCAGGATTTTGCAGCACCTGTGTCAACTAATGCTAAAAGTTTTCCTTCTCCAATGTAGACGGTAATAGTTGTAGGGCCAAGGTAAGGAGGATTTAGGACCGGAGACGGTAGTGCAGCCTGACCTCCATTGTTAAGACAGGCTGCGCTGCTTAGTTTGACGACGGAAGTCCGGTAGTAGCGTCAGTGAACGGCGAGACGGAGCGGTTTCGTCGAGGATAGGGGGAAGGTGATCGACCACGTCGGAATTCAGCAGCTGGAAAGGGACGTGTGTTGCGATGGTCGTCAAAATTGCGGCGGTCACTGGAACTGCCGTGGTTGTCGAAATTTCGGCGCGTGTCGTGGTCGTCAGAATGTCGAGTTTGATTCTGTGGGGTGCGACTGTAGGCTTCAGCATTCATGCGGCGTCGGCAGTAGCGGATGATATGACCTGGGGCGTGACAGTAGAAGCATATCGGACGTTGATCTTGAGTGCGCCATTCCTCTGTCCGCCGGGGCGATAGGTAGCGTGTGGATGGAATTGAGACGTTGTGAGAAGTTTGCAGAGCGCAAATGTGTGGTGCTGAGTGCTGTAAAGAGCAGATGGGTGGTGAGGAAGTCGATGGTGCCATGCATGTGGGAGACGACGAAGAAATAGGACGAAGGGCAGCACGAAGTTCGTCTTTGATTACCTGTTCAATCTTAGGCGCCTCGGGTTGCGAGATTGAAGAACTGGCTGAGAGGCGCAGGGATCCCAAGAAGTCGCGTAGTTCGTCTCGAATTATTCGCCTGATGAGATTGGGGAGGTCAGTGTCGGCAGTTGTAGTTGAAACTTCAGGGAGCCGTTCAAATCCGGTGTTGGAGATCGGACCACTTTGAAGGTCTTCATAATGCTTGCATTCTGCAATGAGCTGCTGCACGGTCTGAGGTGACCTGGTTGCGACGATGGAAAACAGCTCTTGGGATAATCCTTTGAAGAGCTGCTTGATTTTTTCGTCCTCCGGCATAGCTGCGTTGACACGTCCGCAGAGGCGAAGGACGTCCTCGATGTAGGACGTCGATGTTTCGGAGGGGGCTTGGTACCTCCTGGAGAGTTTGTCCCGCGCTTGTTGTCTTCTGCGTTCAGGTGTACCGAAGACATCTGCGAAGGCGGTTTTGAACGCATCCCATGAATTAATTTCTTCCTCGTGATTGTCGTACCATTGGAGTGCAGTCCCTTTGAGGAAAAATACGACGTTGGCGAGTTTGATGGTGTCGTCCCAACGGTTGTGTTGGCTCACCCGGTCGTAATTTTTGAGCCAGTCCAGAACGTCAGCGTCGGCTGAACCGGTGAAATCCTGGGGGTCACGTTGGCGAGTTTTGACCGTTGAAGTGTTGGTGGGGCGCTGGTCTCTTACATTCCCGTTATCGTCGTTCATGGTCGTGACAGTCGACCGTCCGCTGCGCAGCTCCAGGTTGGAATTACCAGATGATCAGGTTGGGGATCGCTAGGGCACCTCCACCAAGTGTTGAGACGTTGATAAAAGAGATTTAATAGAAGATAGGAGGAAAATGCGACCAGTATGAATGGCGGTACAGCATTCAAGAAGCGCCCGTGCCGAGCGCGCGCTTGGTCAAACCCCTGCCTGTCTGTCCGTGCCACTTCTTCTTCCTTACAATATGTATATAGATACCAATGTGTCCAACCGAAAAAAAATACAGGTTCGGTTACGGTTCAGGTTCAGGTAAATTAATTTTGTTCCGGTTCAGTTCCGATTTGATTAATTCGATCCGCGAACCGGTTCGGGGCGCTGAACCGGTTCGCGAACCCGTTCGGAAATTATAAATGACAAATTGCAACATCAAAATAAATTACAAATAAAACATCTGAAATCAGCACATACGAAACGGGATACATCGTAGTGTAAGGCTCAGGGATTTCTACCAGGAATGGGTTCTTTATGTGCACTCAAAGGTTACCTCACCGACGTTATCGCATTCGGACTTCATCTAATTGGGTCCGACGCAGTAGCTGTAAAATCCGCGACCTTCTTACAAACCCACTTACAAGTAGAACTCGCTAACTATCCCGCCACCTCGGCGTGTAAGCAATTGAAGGAACAGTGGGGAGAAAATACAGCTTTCTTTATTCGAACTAGCCTTCGGTAACTCAAATTAGACCCTTAAAGAAGTTTTCATTAAGCAAGATACGGAATATGAAAAACACTTCACCGAACGCAACGCCAGAAGGACGTAATAGGATAAATATTAAAATAGAAGAGTGTGCTGTCTCACAAATATGTTAGCTTCTAAGTGCCTATACGAAACCGGATGCATTATTATCAAACCCCACAGCCTTTTCTTTTGTCATTCCGATGGAAGCAAGCTTCAAGAACTCGCGCGTTCTAGAAACGTGTTATGAAATGAGCACACAGCAGCATTTAGGATTTACGAGATCGTAGAAAAATAAAATCCCGTGACGCGATTTTTTTTTTTTTTTTTTGCACAGCCTTCCAATTTTCTTTTTTTCGTGCAAGCCGCGACCAGCGCAATACTGGTTCCTATGTCAAGATTCATGGATGCAGCGTTTATATTCCTAAGACTGAGTGGAGAAGAAAAATATGTAAGCCAGGTGTGTGTCAGTTGACGGCACTTAAAAAAACAAATGGCATTGATAGCACATTCATTGTCAACAGCGCGTGGCCGAACCGTTTTGACATGAGCCGGTAACCGTTAGTTTTTTTCCGGTTCAGTTCCGGTTCGGGTTCATCGCGATAACAATATAACGGTTCGGGTTCGGGTTCAGTTCCGGAAAAAATAATGGTTCAGTTCCAGTTTTCGGTTCGGTTCAGTTCCGGTTCGACACCCTGATATATATATATATATATATACATTAACACAGCATTTTTAATCCCGCTTTTACCATCAGAATTAGCTTTCGATTGTCCGACAGGCTTACTTGATGGTGCTTGATAGAGCCTCAAACATTTCCTGGCGGTGGTTGTTGGATCCTTAAAGTCTGCTGATGTAGCTCAGAAACCTTAAAAACGTTTGTTGCGGCGACTAAGGAACCATCGAAACGTTTTGATGTTGCCGGGTGAGACCATCAGGACATCTGATAGACCATCAAAAGGACAAAAAGGCAGGTGGTGCTTCTCATGATACCTTTCGGTGGTGGAAAGAACCCGACTATATTCAGGAGGTTCTAGCAGTGGCCGAGAGAAGACGTCAATGATCTCATGTCATTGCGTGTGCGTGAATTACATTCGGTGTGTAAAGCTGGCAGCGACGTGGATTAATAACAGCGTGTTCAATCCGTACTAATCCGCGTCTAGAATTGTCCCAGGACAGTCGAAAGGTAACAAAGGCACCTTCCCACACACTCAGTTGTGTTTTTGCAACCACAGTTTTGTTTTAAATTGCTTTATTCTCTCTTGGTAAAACAATTTGTAGATCCACTTTGTATGTCAAGTAGATCGTGTTTAAAATCTAAGTGGCAAAGAATGTGCCGAAAAATGCACTTCACTTGATAGAAAATTTATTCACTAAGTGCACGTGTACTGTGAACTGAATGTTTGCGTGGAAGAAACGTTTACAAAGCCGCGAATACGGCAATACGAGGCTCACTGCATTGTAAGGCTGACGAGGCTTAGCGTATTGCACGCTGTCGCACGACGCCGTCATGTCCAGAATGGACGATGGGACTGAGTGTAGATAGCCACTCAACAGACACCGATGAAATCGCTGCGCGTCGTGGAGTCTCGAATGTAGTGACTAGATTCAACGCATTTTATATTCCAGTTTATTTTTTAGGTTTAATAATTCAACGATAAATATATTTTGAAATAGAAATAACACAATACCATAGCTTAAATAAAAACTTCGTTTTCAGGTTTCTACGCTGATTTTTAAAGGTACTCTAACGCTTCGGATGTTTCTTTTTGAAACAATAATGGGCACAAAAGAAAGTTCACAATTGACTGTAATGTTTTTTTTTTTTACTTCTGCCGGTAGATATGCGCGATCAGTAATTCATACCGACCAACAAACCATCAGACAATCACACCATCAGACCATTAGTGTCCGAAAAGATGTCAGACCATCAGCCTGATGGACCATCAGGATTTTTCCTGATGGTCTTTTCAATAGAGACTTATTGGGTTCTGTCCCTCAAGCCTGAACTGGCTTCGACAGACCGTTACTTATAGTGTATAAGGTATGTGTAATGAATATGGCTGAGTAACTGATCGACTAACCTACCGATTAATCGGTTAATGCTTTAATCGCGATTAAATTTTTAATTGGTTAATGGACACATTTTTGACGAAATAGCATAAAGTAAAAATTAAACGCATCCACCACGCCTACGTCGACAATCGAGTACACCTTTATGAGGTGAAGCTTTAGGTCAGATTTTAGAATAAAGTAAACTGTATGGTCCAGTCTTGTAACTCCAGACAGGAGTAGGAGGCTACACGTTTCCCGGAGACCTCAGCGCCATTCGGGTATCAGCTTAGCGCAACAGAGACTCTTCTGAACGATCAAAGAAGGCTGCTCTTGCCAAAGAATATCAAATGACCTTTTTGTCACACGCAGCTGAAGTAATAATCGGCAAGTGGGAGCGACTGAGCTGTTCTTACCTACACATCGAGACTGATTTGCACTCCAAGTTTTATTTTGCGCCTTTTATCTCATATTCGTCTAATGGAAACAAAATATATAAATTTTGAATATATTAATGTTATAAATAAGAATAAACGAGACCGATTAATCGAATGATGAATCGATTAAAGAATGGCAATTAATCGGGTTAAAACTTTTAATCGCCGCCCAGCACTAGTAATAAATGCCTTGTTATTATTATATTTTATTCCCCAGATCAACCAAAGGGGCAAGACATGAGAACGAGAAGTACGGCAACCATCTTCAAGACACCTACAAGGGACATCGTGGCCCTCAAGACTTTACAGTTCTCACCTGTTGTTCCTCTGTGCCGTGCAGATTCACGGGTGTGACACGACACTTGAATTCCGCACGAGACAGCCACGCGAACTGAGCACTGCATTGGGCACAGGTGAGACTAGAGTTCGCACCGCTCTTCAAACCATAAGGGTCCCTGTCGTTTGAAGAGCGGTGGCTTAGTTGCGTTTCCATAGGAGTTATGCACTTTTCTTTTTTTTTACTTTTTCCTCAGGTAAGTTCGCTCTTTGCAAATTTTATAGAAAAAATGCACCACCTGTGGCCGACGCTGTACAAAATCGTAACGCGGTAGGTTAAGAAACCAATTTTTGCGGTCGATTAAAAGAGCCTGGCCACTAATTGGGACACTTGGTAATTTACTTTCACTAAGGGACAAATGGTTTTTGTATTATTGCTAAATTGTGCTTGTTTAAACTTCGCGGTTTCTCAAACATTTGCTCCGCAATATTTTTTCTACGGGTGTAATAGACATCTTAGACACTACACAATTCGGCATAATGTCGTGGAGGCATTCTATTAGATTTATACACTAATAACGAATTTCTAATGCTCCTTAATAAACTGTACAATTTGGTAAATTTGGATACTATCCGAAGTGGCAATATATCAAAATGTTTAATCGACTGAGGAATTTGCAGTTGAAACGCCATTATCTTAAAATTTCGGCACAAGGATGGACTAGTAGAATGGCAAATTACTCGAAGCGTAACGTTTCAGAGTTATGGGCATATTTGTGTATTATATACATGAGCTTCTGTGGAAGTGCTGCCGGAACGCGCTAACAGATGGCGCCACCATACGGTGACACAAATATTTGGGCATATCCATGAGCCAAAGTATTTGCAATTTTTTTCCATGTTCAACGTCTCCGTCGTCTGGACATTCTCCGCCATGCAGCACATGTACTTATTAAACAGCTGATTCGCTCTGAATGGCTCTGTAGACCACGGCGTGCCACACTGTCGCTTTAGGCCATGCTCGTATGTAATTCGTTAAAAATAACCAAAGCTACCTCTCTGTTGCTGTAATGTTGTGTTATAAAGTCATTAATTGTTGAATAACGAATTACTGACAATTTCTCGTTAGATTTTTTAATGTTTTATCAAAATAAAAGATGGAATTGAAGGGGGATATACGGTCCTCAAAACGGTGTCTGCTGACCAAGGGAGTGAAAGCGAGAGAGAGCATTTCACATCCATTTTGTAATGGCGATTTCTTCTGCATCCCGCGACCACTGCAACATGTGTAAGTCTCGTGGGGTAAAGTGAAGCCGGGTGATGATTGGCGTTGACTTTTGAGAACAACCAACATTTCTATCCCTTCAATTCACTCATCGGCATTCTCCCTCAAAGTTGGAAAATGTGTGCTTCGTGGACTGTACACAAATAATTGGTGTCAGCAAATTATTAGGTATTGTCCTTGGACGAGGCTAAATCAACTGTCATTGCATTGCCGCTCACCTGCTTCATTGTGCTTACCCCCCGTCGAGGTGATGGGGATCAGGAGCTTCGAGGTAATGTCGGCACCAGAGACAAAGGCCGCCGAAGATAATCCCCAATGTCCCGCGGTCGCTCCTCGAGACGTGGTCAAGGGTTGCTCGGCACGAACCCTCGCAGGCGAATTCATTGGTAAGGGCCGCTCCGGCAGACATGGTCGGCCTCATGCGCTGGTATCGGAGTGGTTTTCGGTCGGCCATTCACAATGCCCCCGTTTTTCATAATGTACTTCGTTCAGTGCAGACCTACACCCGATGTCGGGTTACTTCGGCGTTGGGGTGTTTTATTAAATTGGAACTGAATACTAAGGGGCGGCCGGTGGCGGTCGTCGTGCCATTGTGGCATGAGTAGCCCTCGGTTCGTCCGACGCCGCTTCGCTCGCAGGAGTTTCCGGTTGAAATGCCTGTTGAACTTGCTCCGAAAGAGTCTCGGCAATCAAAATAAAAGCCGGGCAAGTGATGGCAGGAAGTAGCTTCCTGATCTCCTCTCGGACAACGTTGTGGATGATGTCGCGGATACCTGGGAGGCTGGCGTCGAAGTTACAGCTGGATAACTCGAGTGTCAGGACGCCGGGAAGTTGTTGATAACTACAGGCTCGAGCATGCAGCGCACGTTCAATGTTGGAAATCTCGGTAATTTGAACGCTTCGAAAGTTGTCAGAGGGTTGCGAACAAGGCTGCTGAAGGTGTTGTCCCTTACATGAGGGACATGGGATTCTTAGCTTCTTGTCATCTGTAGCATCAAGGTCGGTGTGGGCACTCGATCAGGTGCAAAGCATCCTCCACGAAGGCGGTGACACTCTCGTTGGGGCCGTGTCCTGGACAGAATCAGGAATTCGGCTCTCTCTCGTCGATGTTGGCTGACGAACGTGCGCCTCAGCTCGATCTTGCAAACTTCCCACGACGTTAAGGAGGATTCATGGTTCTCAAACCAGTGCCTGGCAGTTTCTTCCACGAGAAGTATAGGTTCTGCAGGAGGTGGTTGTCCGTCCGTCCACCCATTGTGGCGGGCGACACGGTCATATTGTTCAAACCAGTCATCGACGTCTTCATACACCTTTCATGAAAGGGCGTCGGAGTGTGAGGCGCGACGGGCATGCAAACAATGGTGGGAACCGACACTGTTTGCTGCAGCAGGTTTGTCATTGTTGGCTTAGTCAGCTTCGGGTTTTGTGGCAGGAGACCAAATTCCGGTCGCTCTTGCTAGTAGCAGCGGCTGACTCGGATTTTAGGTTCTTCGTGGTGTATTTGCGAGGTTCGGTCTTGTGACACTTGCTCGTCTTGCGGTTTCTCTGCCGGGCTCGAAATATGACTTAGTTCACGGCTTTCCAGGGGTTTAAGACACCAGATAGTCCACCACCCGTGTCTCGTTATTGGGTAACTCGGCTGAAGAGCCGACAAGGTGAACACAGAGTGAAGGGCTATGGGTAAAATACACAGAACCTCCACCAGAAACATACGATGACAGCCGAGCATGGCCCTGGAAGTTTCCAGAATAGTAAATATTTATAGAAGATAGGACTGGAACAAGCATCCGTGACAATAAAACAAAACTAACAGAAGAGATTCTATTCTGATCAAAACTGGCCAAGAGCGCCATTTATAAAAAAAAATTCAGGCGTAAAAGTGTGATGAAACGATGAAAACGGACTCACCAGTAGCAGCGCTAGCTTCACCAGAAACGTTGCATTCTTCATCGGTCGGTGATGTTGTTTCTCAAGCTAAAAGCAGGCCGAGAGGACCATTTGTGGGAACATGCAGATGAAAAAGCGTTATAAAACGAGAGAAACGGACTCACCAGCAGCACTGTTTGCTTCACGGGAATCGCCGTATTGCTCTTTGTCCAATGGGGTCATGTCCCGAGCTGTGAGGCCACTATTTGTTAGAACTTGTAGCTGCGAGAGTGCCATGCTTCGGAGAAAATGACTTACCATCCCGAAATGTCTGGATCTGCTGATCTAATGCTGATGCAGGTTTTTCAGCTGAAAGGCAGAGTTGTGAGACAACCTATCCGAGCCCAAAGAAACTATATAGGATTTGAGTACATACCACACATCTCTTGATTTCTCCGAGACAGCCGTCTTCTTGGTTTGGGTGGAGGATTTTGAGCAAAGAGACTGGGAATTGCATCTCGTTTCAATTTTTCCTTTCCTGTCTTCGCGAGTATAAGGGTTTCAAACTGATCGATAGTGAAGTGATCCTATAATGTAAGGTTGAAGAACTTTATCTTTCACGCAATTGAGACAACGTTGGAATTGCGAGTGTGCTGTAAATAATTGAGGGCAGTAGCATTGTGAAGTAACTTAACACCTGTACCGCGTTGTTGATCTAATGAGACATAACACACAGCGTAATCAACCACAAAATCATACTCGCTTTCATGCAACTCCGTTGGCAAGAGGCGAGTTCATCAGATCAGCAAGACGCGTGGCAGTCGATGGTCGTTAACTCACGCAAGCGCTGCGGGAAACCGGCATGTGAGCTGACAGATTTCATCGTCACCATAGATTGCCCGTTCAGCAGATCTCGGTAATAAACGCGGGAGACACCATGAGGACCAGGACAAGCCGTTCACTCGTGGCAACTCGAATCATGCCCCCACCCTTTCATTCGAACACCGTGTACTCCGATCATGTTTATGTTGGCACGTCAGCGAAGAACGCGGGCACAGCACACGATCGCAACTTAGAATTGAAGCCCAACAAAGCTTGGAAGTGGGCCGGTTTAAGGCCAGTTGGTTGTTTACGACGTAGGAACAATCTTGTGTCCGCGTGGGTCGACCACTCGCGCCACAATGATCGCAAGCTACCTCGCGTCTTCACGGCCGCTCTTTAGTCGCTGCTGTTTTGACTTTAACGCTAGATAGTTACGAGATGGGATAATAAGGGGTCACTCCTGAGCCATAACTTACCTCGCACAGTCTGGTTGAGGGCGCACACGTGAAATTCTTTCGTTTAATTCGTAACATTCAAATCGTCCTTCGCTTTTTGTCCCGCACCCCAAGGGGGATTTGGAAGAGCTTATTTCCTTCTTCTGGACGATTCGAACGACATACCGCACAGCTGCACGTCATTGCGTCAGCCTGATGTCGTTTCTAAAAGCCAAAGACTCGACACACACCCTGCCGACACAAAAATACAAGCTCCGGCGAGCGGCCGGCAACGCAGTATGCAGCCGATGGATACGAGGCCTAAAACTGCTAGAACCAACATTATTAGATTGCTCAACTGTGGAACTCCCGCGGAGGGGGGGGGAGGGGGGGGGGGGGAGTGGGGGGAGTGGGGGGGGGGGAGGGGGGGTGGGGGTACCCCCCTCTGCGGGAGTTCCCCCCTCCGCGGGAGTTCCCCCCTCCGCGGGAGTTCCCCCCTCCGCGGGAGTTCCACAGTTGAGCAATCTAATAATGTTGGTTCTAGTAGTTCAGGGTTGTCGCAAGCAGTCTTGATAAGGAGGTAGCGCCATCAATCATTACGTGCGCCAAACGCACCCTGCCTCTCTGCGTCGCTTTCCGCCGTTGACCCTGGCAAGGTTTTTGATTCCATCCTTTACAGAAAGAAAGCTACGTTTTGTAATTTTACTACGCATAACCGACCTGTGAAATACACCTTTCGCAAAAAAATTATATTTCTACGTGCAGGCGCCGA